GCGTGGCTGGTTTGTAGACAACTTGTTCCTGTACGATTCTCGAATAATTATTATATAAAATAGAATAAAATATAGCACGGAGCTTGTTTCTCTTTATACCACATGACAAGATTTAATATGTTAGAAATTATGTCATTCAAACTTTTTCATAATATTTTAATATTTTTAGCTATCCAAAAAATACTTTTATGACCTGCTGTCCCCTGAATATAGGGGCCAGCCCCTTTTTCTTGATGTTATCTGAAAGCTCTCGTAATTACACACAACTTTTATTCTATATGTCTTACCAAATTTTTATCAGTTTAAAAGTTATTAAACAAAAAGCAGCAAAATTTCTTGGAAAAATAATTCTTAAAACTTGCCGTCACATAGCTTCCGAATTTAAAATAATTAGCCTACAATTTTAATGTTCTGCTCATCTGCAATGTATCAGTTACAAGTTCTCCAATTTTCATGCAAATATCATGTGTCGTTATTGAGATTTCTACTGGACAAGAGACCCTCCAAATATCGATTAAAGGGCAATAACTCATGAACGGAGGTATATATCAAAAATTTGAAAAAACCGTTTTTAGGCAATAATACATTGTATCTACCCTGAAAGTTTCATAGCAATCGGACAAAAGGTCTCCGAGAAATCGCCTGCTGAAAATCGGCGGGAAAAAAAAAAAATAATAATAAGAAACAGTAGAATAACAGAAGGGTCTTCCGAAGGAAGCTCGGAAGACCCTAATAATCTTAACCATCAGAATCAGTAGAAGGTCTTCCGTTGGAACGGAAGACCTTAAAAAAACAAAACAAACAATTTATTTCTCTATCCCGTGATGTTGTATTCTATTTCAATTGTAATTGAAAAGGTGCTACGGCAAATAATTGCAATTAGTGATGGAAATATTAAGTATTAATACATGTACTTGTGTAAAGTATAATTTTTACTATCAGTCTCTTGTTTCTTCATTTCATTTTTCATTTAATATTAAATAAACTATATACATAAAATAATACTTTTAAACATACAATAATTCACGCCTTCTTACAGCAGACAGTTAACATTCCGTTCTGTCTCTGTGTTTTACTTCAAAATCTGTAACCCACTCGTCGTTCACACGTGGCCGCAGAGATTAGCGAGCCGCGGTCATATCGGTGTTAAAATGCAATGTGTACTCATAGCGATTAATGGAAAATTGTGTTTAAAATCATTTCAAATCTTAAATATTATTTTATTTCACTCTATCTCACGCTTATTTTTTATCATTATCTTATCCGCCTGTGTATTTATTCATTTTAAGTTTTATGCATTTTAATTGCCGACTTAACCACTAGGTTTGCAACAATTTATTTTTCTGTCTCATGTTTTAAACTGCATGTACACATGCACAATAATTGTAAGTGGAGGTGACGTTTTCAATTCTCGGGAAAATCGAAAAATAAATTAATCACTTCTGAGTTTGCATTATTTGCTACCAAACTTATAATTGTATTGTACAGAATGATATACTTATGCATTTCTTTTATTTCGTCGAATAAACAGAATATCCCAATACACGATTTTACGGATACATGCTTGAAAGTACATACAGTTTTACATGGAAGAGCGCCCAAACTAAATACATCCTGAGCTTTCAGAATACACATGCTTGTGTACAAAGCAAACGGGTAATTCACAGATAAGGAAAAACAGAAAAAAAACATGTCTCCATAAATTAAATACACAATCGCAATGATGTATTGATTGATCAGCATACAGTTTTTTATCCTTCGTCCATGCATTTCGACTATACGGAAAAAAGATCCGATTCGGTAAAATTATAGCAAACGTGGTTGAAAATTGTCGGACTTTTTATCCAAATTAAAAAAAAAAATGTGTTGGTCCTTTAAATGGCAATATATCCGAATAGTACCGTAACTAAACAGCCTATCAAATATATCACGGCGTCCATGTAAGGGTGAAACTTTGTTGGTAAATAAAGTGGTTCTTACAAATATGTCACAAATCTTAAACATCTAAATAATTATTTAATTTTTCCAACAAATACTAATTTGATTCTAAGAAAGCCACGCAGTTGTATACAAATATTCCAAAATAATCTTTAATGTTTAATGGACTGACAGGTGATCAAATTTCCTCTCATCACGATACGTACACCCCCCCCCCCCCCCTTTAAAGAATACAATGTTTTTCTTTAGAGCCGAAATGTCAATCGGTTCGTTTGTTCAGGTACGTATACATATAGGTGAGGGCTGGTGTTGAATTCCGAGAGAAATCCACAACCTATTTTAATGTAAACCAATAATCATACGCGACATTTGTTATTCGCGTATCGTCAAATGAATGAAAAACAAGGTCTGCAACGATTAATATCATTATTTTAAAAACCTTTTAAGGTCTTTTATTTTATTTCAAAAACTTAAAAAATGTAACGATTTAATGCGTTCATTGGAGTGGTCAATTGAGCGTCGAAGTGTGTACTAATAGTTTCTTGGGGGGGGGGGGGGGGGGGTTGTTACCATTTTCGGTGCATTTGATTTCCGGAATTTTGCATTGCACTTCCGACAATTAATAAATTTCACTTTTAACATTTATTATTTTCATTCCGGATTTTTGACTATATTTCCAGCAATTTAATGTTAACAAAATAGATGGAATTAAAATTTTAATAGGATATAAATGGTGAATGGCTGAAAATTTATACATTTTATAATGTACATGGTACTTACGGCCTTTGAGCAGTAAATGATGGAATACGGAGAAAATGATCAGCATTCCACAGGTGAAATGTTAAGGAAAATTGTACTTTTTCTTTGTGGAAAAAAGAGTGAAAGATAATAATCTAAATGTGGAGACTACACTCTTTTTATTTGATACATATGTATAGGTTCTGTTTTTCATTATGAATGTGAGATGTGGGGATTTCATAAAGCCCCACATGTTGAGCAAGTACATATTATCTTTTAGAAGAAAATTATGTCGCTTCGAAAATCTACAAATAACTTAATGGTTTATTTCGAATTTGGTAGATGCCCAATGTATGTTCAAAGAAAACTTCGAATTCTGAAATATTGGTGTAATTTGCTCAATACAAATAATTGCATTCTGCGGACATGTTATAAACAATTATGTGAGTATGAGTACAAACTGGTTAAGTGCAGTTAGAAAGCGTTTTTAAAAGTCTATTTGGTTTGAGTGATAAAATCCTTTAAAAAGAATATTGTTGACTACCCTAACTCATCTGGAAAATCTGCAGCAAAATTTAAATTCTAATGAATCGATTTCGACTTCTTTTATTATCAAATTTTCCTGAACTTTTCCATAGACCTCTGGCTTTTCCCTTAATTCTGTAACACTCGGAACTCGAGAGTTACCCGCTAGGTGTCGTTTCTGCATCACTTCCGTATAATTTCTACTTTGACATTTCCAAATCTTACATTTCTTACGTTTGACGATGAATACTCGGATTATTGTGGAATGCATAGGCAATTAAATAGCACGATTAAAGACAAAAATTATCTACCGAAACAAAATATAATAACATATTTTGGTGACATGTGGTAGGTATATGATATTTTAGACCCGATATCCAAGAGGGGTCCAGTGTTAACAAATGGAAGAGACTTACCTTCTCTATTTCATAATACCGCGGGTATGATTTTTTTAATAAAACGTTAATTCTACGTTATTTTCTGGATTTTTCATATGGGATACATTGTAAATGTGTACTAGAAGATTAATTTATGGAAAAAGACAAATAAAAATATTCTTGGACCCCGGAGTGTATATTGGGGGGGGGGGGGGGGGGTTCTGTCCACAAGCACCTGTGCAACATTCAAGCTTAAAAAGACCATTCAAACAATACAAATCAGGAACAGTGCAAATCTTTTGAAATCAGAAATAGAATCAAGTGCCATGGATCTGTCATGTTGTAAATTTTGAACTAACCGGTTGTCAGTAAATACAAAATTTACATGTCATGTTGTAAATTTTGTATTTACTGCCACCCGGTAAATTCAAAATTTATAGCATGAGAGATCCTTTTCATGCTAGCACTTACCCCGACACGAGACCTTATACGGTCTCATCCAAAGGACCGATCTCCACGTTTTACTACTTATCCAAACTGGGCATAAAACTTTCTCAATGAATTTTTAAATCATTGTGTTGAACCTAACAAATTATTCCGACTCGCTGTATGATCTGAAAAAACATGGCTGAACTTATCCATTCAGAAACCCACAGATTGGGATTGTTCTTAACCAGTGTGTGTTATGGCCTTGATGCAAGGTCATTTGATCGAGTCAAGGTCACTGACAGAGAAACTGTAATTTCGCTACCGTATTTGTACTAGTGAAACATTGCTGGTATCATGAAGAGTGTGGCATGGCCTTGACTCAAGTTCAAGGTCACTAAGGATAAGATTTTTTGACTTATGTATGGACTAAAAGAACATGACATGTCACTGTGATCTTTTCAAGTCGGTAACACACAGATTGGGTTTTATGACGAGAGTGTGTCATGGCTTGACGCAAGGTCATTTGGAATGTTCAAGGTCACGTACATTCCTTTACAGTTTTTCCTAGCGAAATATTGTAAGTTGCTTCCCCTTACAAGATTGCTTACATGTATAACTTTAAAATGTGGCATGACCTTGACTCAAGGTCACTTCTTTCCGCAGCTCCAACGGAAGACCTAATCGTTGCTTTGCAACGAGCTCGCTCTAGTTATATTTACATGTGTTGGGTTATTTTTTTTTACATGAATTGCATGTAGAAAAAAGTGTGGGTTATTTTCATGATAGCAAAATTGTGTATTGTTAAAACTGAAAGAAATAGATTTGAATTATCATCGATATGCAGGGAATGGGGGGGGGGAGGGGGGGTTAGAACAGATATAAAACTTGGTGGTGGTGGTAAGCTAATTTGTACACTATGAGTATTAGTGTATAACTGTATCAACAGTATTGTACATTGACAAACACATGATCTGACTAATTTATTTGTTTTAGACTTGATGAAGATGAAGGCAGTCGACCAATGACACCCAGAAACATCACCACACTACGTGTCAAATCTGACACGGGGAATCACACATATATACTGAAAATGAAATTCCACGAGACGATACGAGACTTACGAAAATATATAGATCTACAAAGGTATGGAAGATATACTAACAGTTTTCCTGGAAAGTTGACTTTCATGTTAAATTTTTTTTCATAAATTCCCAGGATAAGAAATTGATGTAAATTATATTGACTTTTCCCTCTCTGTTTTTTTTATCAAAGACCTTCAAATTGATTCATTAATGATACAAAAATCCTACATGTATTATTAACTGTAGATATGTGTTTAATTATATAGTTGTGCAATATTTTTTGCTAAATATCCTGATCCAAGAGTTATTGCCCTTTATGATCTTCACAGGCCATTGAATTCCCCATCATACAACATTGTCTCAGCATATCCCAGTAAGACTTTTGATGACGAGAAAATCACGCTGCAGGAAGCGGGACTCACACCTAATGCTGTGTTACATTTACGAGTGAAAAAGTGATCAGAGTTAACTTGATCTTTTAAGTCTCTTCATGGTTGTGTGAATGCAAGGTCACAGTGAATTCCTCATGTTTTATGTGAAAGCATTTAACTTTAATGGGTGAAAAACCATTGTGACTGATCAGTATTGTTTTTTGTTTTTTTTTTTTTAAAAAACAGCAAGCTTATGAATTTCACCAGCTGTAGTTAATTTCACAACTGCTACAGCGTTGTTGCATTCCAAAAATTTTCTTGTGCAATGGGGATTTTTTTTTTTTTCATATTTTCAAATATCATATGTAGCTTATGTGATTTTCCTGTGATAAACATTTTTTAAAGAAATATTTTTTAATTTAAATCAAACTGACATAAAAACTGTGATGATATACTGCTGTCATATCCTATAATGTATTTTTCTTAAACAAGCATAAAAATTACTGTCATCATAAAATGTCGTAATGTCTTGTTTCCTCATTTGGTTTTGTAGGTCCTTCATATTACGATCAATAGTAAGCATAAGATGTATGTGTTGTGGGGTACGCAATGTGTAGGCACGTGTAGACCTGAATGTCATGTTGTATATGTATGTGGAGTATGTGTATAGGGGTATGTTTTCTAGTCATTTTTTGTCCAAAATTGAAAAAAAGAATCATTTTTAACCAAGTTCTTACATGAACTTAATTTTTTTGTGTATATTACTTTTGTTTATAATTTTACTATAAACTCATTCATTAACTTTAAACAGATATGCATGTTCAGAGAAGTAAGATTTTGTGTCCTATAAACAAATTCATGAGACATTTCTTTTATAATAAATGCTTTTGTACGCAGTACAGTTAAGGTTACAAATGGAAATATCGGCGAATTTTTTAAATAGAAATTACATTCTTTACAACGATGGGCGATTCTTTTTAGGACATTACTATTATCGGACAAATGTAATGTGGTTGAAAACTACATGTTGAGGATGATTAGATTTCTTATCTAGACTTGTGACGTAATGTGGCAGTCACATGGTTTTAGCAAATTTACCTGCAGTATTGAGGTCATCTATAAATTTCAATATTGCAAGGGCATAACCACTTTAAAAATCTAAGTTTAATTAATAATTATTTTCAGCACTCTTTGTAGTTTGTGAAAAGTGCTGCGAACCTATATAGATTCTACTATATAATTGCTAAAATTACGTTTGTTAGACCTTATGTTGAATATTTTGCTGGTCAAGTACATTAAATATATATATAATTAATTCGTTTGCAAGATTTCATCAGGTTCGCAGCACTTTTCAAATATCTTGATACCTCTTGAATTTATGTGTAAAAGCTTGTCATGATTCATTGAGGGTATGCCCTTGCAATATATCGATTTATTATGACCCTTCTATTACATTTCAATGAATCTGCATACAAATATACGGCAGTATCGCTTATCTAGTAAATGCAATGGAAGTATATGAATAAAATCATAAAATAGACATCGCATCCAAGTTAATGGCCTTTTATATATCTGCAAATATATTTTATTTAATTACAAAATACATTTTTCATTGTATAAAATATAACTTGATCCGCCTCTCACTGCATAAGATCTGCGTCAAAGTTTGCGATATGACGTCACATTGACAAGTGCATTGCGATCAGTGAATTCTTTATAAATTGCTGTGTGGGATTTAACCAACAACAAAAATACATGCAATAGTAAGTATTAATGTAGTTTAAAGCTATCCAACAATTTAAAATAGCAAATCATTTCATTTTGTGGTAATTTGAAGAACATATATTTTTGTGTGATGTCATAGTAAGCATTTCCCGAAAAAATTAGGCCCCGCCTCCTTATTGCAGCCTTAACTGTGCTGCGTAGTCAAGATGAATTTTTCTTATTTCTGACTTCCAATATTTGATAAGACCATAGAGCTTCAGTCTATCAGCAGATGAATTTACTCCTTTTTATGCAGTTAAAACTGTCAACATGCAAGGGTAACTTATGTTTCAACTGTAAAGAAATTTGTTTTAAAACTCCAATGGTCAAATTGCAGGGTTTATATCCTTTTTTTTATTTTGTCGAGATTGTCTCCCTTGAACGTTTTTCAACATAAAACAATGTGGAATATTTTTTGGTAAAATACTTGTTCAGTGTTTAATAACATATAAAATAAATTTGGTAAGTTAAGCAAGTAAAGAACCACAGTACAGAGGCACTTACATTGTACTATATCTATCAGACAGGAAATTAAAATGCCAAATTCAAAATCTTTTTGAATCCTCAATTTTCAGATGATTTTTTCTTATTTTAAAATTAATATGCTGAAATTTCTTCTCAAAACAATACAAAAACTTCAGAATCTTGCAATTTTATACATTCTGTCAAGGCAAAAATTTATCAATTTAGGGGGACAAAGTAGATGGTATTTATCAAGAAGGATATATATCAAGATCTCATGCAGGCACATTCAGTTTGTGAAGGAATACTGTCACAGTACATGTGAAATATTGATTATGACTATCTTCCCTTTTGTTTCTATACTTTCTCTCTATACAGAATTTGCTGTAAGAAAAAAAGAATTCTTGCCCATCTCCATACTTTACTCCAAAAATACTTGATATTTATAGACAACAACTTGATTTTTCCAGAAAATAATTTATTTGTCAAACAAGCAGAAGACAACATAGGAGGAATAAAACAACATGATTAACAACTAAAAGTATAAATAAATAAATAGAGATGGTCTTAAAGCTTAGACAGAGGAAATGTAATGTATATCTATTGAGCACACAATCACACAAAGTCTGAGAACATCTTCATCACTGACCAAGGTTCCTAAATGAGCACTAACACATCGCAGACTTTGGCTGCGTTCAAGGTCATAGCAGCTAGCCTAGCTGTTAGTCGCATTAAACGCACTGTATGATCTTACGCTTGTTATGGCTATCATAGGCTAGCATAGCATTCAAGATCATAACATTTATGTAGAACTACATAGCAGCTATTGTCTTGAACACAGCCATGATATCTGGTCCCACGATCATGAAGCAGTTTTAAATCTTTTGTAAATTCCTTCTGCATTTTATGTAAAACTTTTCTAGATTTTGAACTTTTAATTTACAGTTAACTAATTATACTGCTAATTGTCACATAATTTCTGCACAAAACTCATTACAGACTACCAACTACAGGGTTATTATGTAACAACTTTTAAATGTTTTCCCAATAAAAATTATATGGTAAATTTTATATTGTTTTAATTTTAAATGGCAGAACTACTCACTGATTATCAGTCTTGTTTTGTCCAATGTATAAATATAGATTACAGTCTGACTTATTTTAGGAGGAGACCAGAACTAAAGTTAATGTAATAGATAAATTCAGAGCTATAAATTATTTTGTCCAAGTCAGACTACAAAAAACAAGACTATCATAGATCGATGTCTATAATCAATATTACCAATAAATTGAAATCAATACTCAAAAAAATCATACTGCATGCGATGGGAGGCATATCTATTCTCCTATGTGATTAAATGTATAACCCCAACCCCCCACCCCTTTTCAACAATCGGCCACATCACATCCACCAGTATAACTTGTTTAAATAAAATACAGACATTTAAATCATCAAATTTTAAACAAAATCACAAACCATTACAGTAACACAAGGAGGTATAATATTCTAAATAAATAACAGTTCATACAACGTCATCTGTGCAGGGAAATTCAGGAACTTTTTTTCTATGTTTACACAACAATTAAAATTGATTTTCTAAAATCCATGACTGAATTTATAAAAATGTAGACAGAAAGCTCATAATGCTGAAAAATGTGCGACTTCAAAAAATAAAATGATATTCTAAATGACATAAAGTCATTTCGTTGTATTATCACAGCTTGGGCTTTGATGGCAGCAATTTATAATTAATTCTTACAAATTGTCAAGGAATGTCCTAAAACTCCAACTGAAGGAAAGATGTTGTAAAACAAATGATTTCTGTGGATTGATTTTTCTCCTTTTTTTTGGTTCGATTTAATTCCTGAAAAAGTAGCATTCAATTTAGAGTGCTTTCAAATTTCTGCTGTTCAAACAGCTATAGCAAAGGAATTTTGAATATTGTGAAATGTGTTTTGTTTTTCAAAAACTGCAGAAATTATTTGTTTTACAGTGTTTTGTATTTATCAGACTAAGGGTACATGTCATAATTCTATAATTTGCTATCACAAACAAATATATCACAGTTAAGCTCATGGTAATTCATAAAAAAAAAATGCTTTCAAAAATACAGCATGTGTTACATTTAAATTCAAGGTACTACATATATATTAATGTCTGTGAAGTCATATAATTATGAGACCAGACTTACACAAAAATTAAATGCAGTGGGTTGAATGATAAATGATCATGCATTTTGCAATCAAGGATTGCATGTTGAATTTGTGGAATTTTTTTCTGCTCTCAAAAAATATATTGCTACCTGTTCACTATCAGTAATGCTTATAATTCTACACCATGCTTCACAAACAAATCGGGAAAAAAAAGTGAAAAACAACTAACAAAAAAAAAAAAAAAAGGGGGATATACACAACAGAAAAAAAAACACAGCACCATCAGAAATAGATACATCACAGAAATAGAATGACTACGAAAATAATTGCCACTAGATTAACGACTTAACAACAAAATATGACATAACAGTACATGAAATTACAGGGGTCACGACCTTTCATGTCATCTGTGACTTGGTATTCTAAGAACAATAATTTAATTCTCTTACAAATAACAGAAAAATACAAATGATTACAATAGGGGTTGATCATTATTACACTATCAAACTTATTTTACTTCAGCTGATAAATATTAAGAAATTTAATTAAAAGCACTGATTTGAAGGTATAAAGCACATGTATTTATAATTCTGGAGTCTCTGTTTTTTTGTTCTTATTTGTACACAGATAGCATCATTATATAATAAAACATATCAATCAAACATGCTGCAAAAGGGGGGATAACTCATGTCAAGACTAAACTATTAGAATTATGGCAAATTTATGAATTATTTTGACTTTAATGTGCTTCTTTTTTCAGTTATTCATGAAATGAATATGAGCAATTAATATCTAAGGTACTTTGAATTCGTTGATTAAATATTTGCACCTGTGTAACTTGCATAAAATACACTTTTTAATACATAATATAAATAGAAAACCAATTGACCATTTTCAAGCATTGCAGTTGCAAGATCTTAATTAAATTTCTTTTTTTTTTCTTTCAAAAATAATGGATAAACATTCAGCTTGTTTTCAAACATAAAAAATGTACTGGCTTTTATCAGCACTTACATATCATATAGTTACATGATAAGTAAAAATGAGAGGGTTCAAGGAACATTTAAGGCCAGAACAATCAGACCCCTCAATAATTACATTCATACAGTAATTAAAACATTGAAATGGAACAAAATGCATCTACACCTTCCATTTATGTATTTTAAAAGACAGAAACACTATTTAAATGTCGAGGAACTGCAAAAAATATCAGGATATTTTCAGTTTGTTGACAAAAAAGGGGGGGGGGGGATTTTCAAAAAAAAATTTTAAAAATGACAATTAATAATCTTTTATTTATGAATTGAATATCCTTTTAATTAAAAAGCACATTTTGGTGGTATACATGCAAGGTGTTTTTAAATGTAAATTGTAGCCAAATTACTTTTACTGACCAAAATCTTATCTAAATTAAGTATGGTTTTCTCAGACATTTTTCCCATGAACACTTCTTCCATTTACCAGTCATGTACTAGAAATACATGTATTAACATCAGCCATAGAACTCGACCTTTGGTTGTCGGGGGAGGTGAAAGGGCCGCTATAGTTCAAAGGGAATAAGGTTCCTCTCTTTCCTGCATCTTTTTATTCTCCTCATTAGAATCTAAAAATGAGAGTATTAAAATATTATATAATATGATTACAACGAAGCAAAGTTGTTTATATTTTAATATATATTCTAATAATTGTTTACTTTATTGCAATAATATAACATGTACTAGTAGATCAACATTTTTTCTGCAATACCATGATTATTCTTTTGGAGAAAGAATTCAATTATCTTGCTAAATGGATAAAGTACTCTGATATATATCTGTACAGGGAAATTTTTACCCCCCACCCCCTTTTATTTTGCCCCTTTTACCCTTGAAGCAAAGTCTACAGAGTTAAACAAGTGTGAATGCTATAACCCTGTACACAGTATGTGTAATTATTTCCTAAGATAATTTTGTTCCAGAAGTAAAATTTCTTTTACATCTTTTAATAAACCTTTTTTTTTTTTATCTTCATATAATTTATATATTCTAATCAATGTTTCACACATAAAGAATGGGGCCAGTAAAGCATTGTATCAGTCTGTTAAACAGATACTTCTGGGTATAAAAATCTCATTTTGACAAGTTCATTAAAAGCTGTTAAAAATAAACACCAACATGGCATATTGTTTGAAGGTGAAGTGATTTATTTCTATTGGTCTCGGCTGATATTGGTAAAAATCAATAAAACAATACCTTATTGCCCATCTCATCAATAATTCATTTTAACAGCTTTACAAACCAAATCTAACAAATTCAGAAAGTTAGGATGACAAATCATTCATTTGTAAGATTTGATCTCACCCTTACAAAGGTCTTAACAGACTATATCAAATAGATTTAACATTTTTATCACTTTGTGGAACTTTGAAAAGTTTCTGCAATTAAATTCAACATACTAAAAAAGTGAATGTACTTAGAAAATTTATTAAATGCATATTTATATTAGTCCTTATCTTAAGGAATGAATTTAATAGCTACCCATTTTATGCGGTATAAACTGGGTTGGGGCAGTTTATGATTTATAAACTGCAAAGCAGTTTATAAAAAAGCGTAAACTGTTCCAACCCACTTTATACCATATAAATTGTGTAGATATTAATTTTGTTCCTTATAATTCATTCTTTTAGTGTAACAAAAAAGACAACTGTCCTTAAAGAATGAGTTTAATCTGTACAAAATTTGAATGTAATGTCAGGCGGATTGATACTTTTTTGACGCAAGTCATTGTGACGTAGGCAACCCAATTTATACGATATAAAGTAAATTTTTTATCCAATCAAATAGTGTGTTACAAACAGAAATAAATTATATTCATATACGTCCCTGACTCAAAATTTATTGCTTACTTTCAATACTTTGAATTTTTTGAAAAACTCTATTTGATACATTAACAATAAAATTAGAGTAATTACACAAATCTTTAGTTAATTAATTTTTCAAAAGGTATGTCAGTATTAATAATGATTATGTAAGAATTTTGTTTCAAAACCCGCATACTGGTATATGTACTGTTTTTTTTTTAATTATTTATCAGAGTATTAAATGATCTATCCTGTCTGAAATCCAGGTGCTTTTTTCACACTTACCGATACCTACTGAAATCCTTTTATTATGTTTTTAAATGTCCCACTATCAATACTTAACCTCTGTATTACAATTAGGTATCTATTATGCAATTCAATACTTTTTAAATTGTTAGTTCAGTGACAATTTGTTGAATAATTGTAATCTGTATTTAACAAAAAAATTAAATTACATTAAATTCATAGCTTTTTTAAGCAGATTTATTCTACTGCAATAAGCTGAAGAAAATTAATTGAAGTGAATTATGAGTTATTCTGATAAATTCACTGTCCTTGAATAAATTCTAAAGCCCCGATCACTTCCTAAATAAGATTTCTTAGTGCTGTTGAACTCTGTGGTTTTCAAGGTCTATTCCATGCACTCAAATAACTGATGTTTATCTTTTTTTTTCTTTCCATAAATGTTTGCTAACGACCATGTATAAGCAATTTTCCTGTTTTCATTAGATTAAACTGTCAGTCCCATATCAAATGTTGTACAATACTAAAGAAAGAGACTTTTGTCAAACATTTAATGAAAAAACTCGGGCCTAAGTCCAGCTACCTTAGAAGATAAGAAAATTCTGCAAACCATAAAGCAGCTCCATATTCAAATATTTTTTCTGTGAAATAAAGAGTTCAAATGATCCGGCCACTTCTAGGTATAATGAAAATCTGTTATTTAGGGGATCGTTCTTTGGAAATGTGCTAAACGTATTTAAAAAGCTGTATAAAATCTGGGTAAAATGTGGAACGTAAGGTCAAGTTTGTTAAGTAAATAATTATGCTTGCAGTCTTAATAACTGTATACCAACTCAGAGATGAAAGGAGAAGTTCAATGTAAAAGAAACCCTTAATCAAAAGTATAATAATTAACATTCAAATCCGATTCCTAGAAATATATATTACAAATCAATTTGACTTTTTTTCTTATGAGAGAGAGAGAACTTAGAGAAAATATATGTAAAAGATATCAAAATCATTTTGGGCGTGATGATTTATTTGTTTGTTTGTTTTTTAATTAATTAATATGAATTATAATGTATGACCAAATAATTTATTATCCTGTAAGGTGTCTCTAATAACTCAGATGATTTCAAGCCTTTTGCACCAAATATATTCCATGGGGAAAACAAATAGATATATTATATGAATTTGAATTTTTTTCAATTTTCAGTTAATATATTATTTGAAATAATTGATGTTTGAAACATAATTTTGTGTTTTAATAATTAATGTCACAAATAATCTTGCCTTTTCATATTACGAACACTGACTAGGACTTTAACATGCAGGCTACATTATAAATGTAGTTAACTGTAAAATTAAAAAAAAAAGAAGCAGTTATCTTCCTTCCTAATATACCATCATTCTTCTTTATTCTAGAATTCTAGGGAGAATAATCAATTTGCATATTATTTAAAAAATGTTTCCCAGAACCAAAAACATATATTATCAAAGGTTGTATAATATACTAGTCTATTCCAAGCACAAACTTGTATAACGGTCACATAATTGTACTGGTTTGAAATATCTAGATATGAATGAATGGATAAATTATATGTATACAAGATTACAGAATTAAACTTCGGCTTTGGCCCCTTTTATGAATTGTAAAATAAGAATTAAGTGTTATAAGATTAACATATTACAATGAAGGACATTCTTCAGCCACATTTAAAATCCTAAGACCCCGGACATTATATGTTCTAAATGGCTTAAGCAGGTCCTTTAGTTATTTAACCTCTGCAGATCCAAAGTATTTAACAAGTGTACATTTATCTCATTAACTAAAAAGATTATCAATTTCTAGCTCTATATTAAAATTTATTGAATTCCTGGACAATTTCTAACCTCTTTACTTTCTGCAGTTGCAGTTCTATAGAACCTCTGGTGCAAATGAAATATGAACAAACTGTAAGAAAGAAAACTTGGGTACAAATTCACAGTATTAAGCAAGAATATTTTCATAGTTGATTTTTGAAAGAGGGTATATTAAGAAAAAAGAAAAATAAAAAGACTTTCAAAACTTATGATAACATTTAAATTCACCAATTTATTGCATTTTTTTTTTAATTTTAGCAATATAAAAATATATATAAAGCTAATAGCCCCAGCCCCCCCCCCCCCCCTGCCCAAAAAGGGTTTTAATTTATCATTACAATTGCCATCTGTGTAATTAGCTTGTTAGCTTGATGGTTATGTCCCCTTTAAAGAAGAAGCAATTATTGGCATGTGGAGGAGGGGATCAGTTCTTGGATAAAAAGCAAGTCATACACATTGCCTCCAGAGATTAAGGTGTACAGACCCCACTGGTGTGATAAGCCGACAGAGCTATAAAATAGAACTTTGTTACTGTGCCAAATGGTCAGTCAAACTGAGAGAAATATGTAAGTCTACGGAGCTGTTAAAACCCCTGTATCTCCTACCCAATCGCGTAACGGACGGTAAACCACTCGACATTTAAACACAGTGTAGCAATAGCCAGCCAGCAAATATACTGCAATATTGACAGAAGATAAACCCCCCTTCAGACTATAGGCACATTAAATGACACGTACATGTATAGCTGTACTATCCTAGTTTGGTCATTTCTTTAATACAATTTTTTGGCATGCTAATTTAAGTTTGAATCTTCAGATCTTCGTGTCTTAAGTGTGTGTGTCTTTTGCTATTTTAAAATTAGTCTCTGAGATCAAATTTTAATTAAAAGGATATTTTAGTAAATGATATTTTTATTTTTAATTAGCATATGTAACATGTAATTTAAATGAAAATGTTGTATAGTAGATGTTGGCTAGCTTATGTTGAAAATTCATCCCTGCACATGTACTTCTTAATGCACAAGCCCAAACAATGTAGACAATACTTCATAATTTTATACTGATTGAGTGGCCCAGAAAATGTCTTAACTTATATATAGTATATATAGATAGAATCTTAAAAGTCTGATAAAAATTGATGATGTTCCCAACAGAGTTGACTAAAATAGCTACAGAAACAATTTGTCCTTCCAGATCAAGTATCACATGTAACAATGCAGATTTCCAGATTAGTAATCGAACACACCCAGGTTTGTAGAATACAGGATAGTGAGAAGTGTTGGGCAGATTTTTGATCAGATTTTTGATTACACTAAAATCATAATTATTAGCCTAATTCACAAACAATAACTTTGGAAATTTTAGTGGAGTAAAGCCCCCCCCCCCCCCCCCCCCCCCACTAGTTGTTGTCCTCCTTGTTTTGGAAGTCGATGCTGTGGGCCTTAAATGCTCCAAATTTTTGGCAAAAACGGAGCACTCTTAGTGATAGCTAGCTAGAGAAGATGAGTCATTACCTACACAACATTAATATAAAGGGTAACATTAATATCGATACATAGCTTAAGTATTACATAACTCCAATCGCGAAATAATACCCATCTTGTTTAGGTCTCAATATTTAAGTGCTTTATAAACATAACTATATGAAATACATCAATACAGCCTTAATGTGTTAGACAGGCTCTATAGATTTTTATGTCAGGAATTAATGCTAGAAGTCTGGTTAGTGGTTTCCCAAGGCAGAGATATTTGTACATACAATGCTGTAAAAACTCGACTTGTTTGAATTAATTAACATAAGAGTTTAAGGTGTTAAGGAAAAGATTTTGTACCAGTGTGAGCTGGGACTGAACTATTGGGAAAAAAAACTTTGTTTGATTCTTTTTATAAAAAAAATCCAATGCTTTCAATCTATAAAGTTTCTTTAAGGCTATAATAAACCTGTGATATATTTTAAATGTAACGTGCAAGTAGTCAAGACTTTACAGTAAAATCTGGATATATACAGAAACTCTAAAAAACAGACAAAATGACTTCACTGACTCCATATCTATCATATACCAAGTTTTCACGTCTGAGTTAAAATTCACATCATTGTTGAATACTAGGAAATAAACATGGCTAAGTAAAAATGATGAAATCAAAATACAGTAAAAATGCTTATAGTGAACATACTTATCATGAATTGTCGCTTACAGCGAAGTGATTTTCATTCCCCATTGAAATTTGTTGTGAATTTAATGATTACAACAAATTAATCTGACAATGAAGCAAAATCATCAGTCCCTGGTACTTCAGTATAAGCTTGTTTTACTGTAAATTGGTTTGCTATAATTACACTTTACTAAATTTTTTTTACATCCACATCAAAGGATTATCAATAAGTAGTAAGTAAAGAAACTACTGACCCGATCAGGTAACTTCTGGTGGGGGTTTGACCGGGGGCCAGAGTCGCTCCTGTTCTGAATCTTCTTTGGCACCAAATGGCAGGTATCCCCCTGACTTCTTCTCTCCCTTTGCTTTGTCCACATTGTGAAGGACTTCCCGAAGAATCTTCTGCGATTCTCGGATCACAACATGAGCATCTAGTGTCCCATTGGCTGTCTTGTAGGTGACCTCATTGAAAGGAAATGCGAGGTAGAAGTTGCCGACCCGTGATGGGGGACCTTTGATTTTTGACTTCCCCTGCTGACTATTAAGTTGGGCGCGGTTACGAATGCTCATACGTGACCCATTAATGCTCCTACGTGTTGGGTGACCTCCGTCCTGTTCTCCCATCCTACTACCCTGGGATTTTCGTAAAGACACCTTTGCAAAAGGTGCCTGAGATTCGTTGGCTGGTGTGAATCGCCGGGGCTGGCTTCGTTGTGGATTTCTTTGGTTTAAGGAGGCTCTAGCCTCTCGTTGTGATGAAGGTGCTTCATAATTCATCTGCTGCACTCGACTTAGTGTCCTCTGGGGGTGCAAACTTGGCTTTGGGGTTACAGTCCCTGAGGAAGAAATTTTTCTTAAGGCATTAGAGTTTCCATTTGGTCGAAGTGACTTTATTCCAGATGAGGACTGACTAGATGCTATGGATACAGGTAAAGTGTTCTTTGGTTCTGAAGGTTTATTCTTAAGGTTTGTTATGCTGTCGTTGGTCTGTCCATATGTGTAACTGGGTCTCTGTTGACTGGACACCATGTTTTTTGGTCGTCGACGTGAATCCTCTGGTAGGGACACCAGATCGGAGTTCTCACTCCCAGACCCTGAGTAGAGACTTGATATTGCACTGTCAGAGGTAGCGGAGCTTTTTATAGATGCTTTCTCAGCCCTCTGTGACTTGGAATTTGAGGAAAGTGTACTGGATCTTCGCACAAACACAGTCTGTACAGGACCAATGGTAGTGTGAATCACTGATTGACTAGTGGGATGGTTATTGTTTACATCAGTTAGACTCGGAGTTTTCACCACAGACCTAGCACTTGGCGGTCCTATACTGAATGTCACCGAGGTCCGACTCTTTTCTCTATGAATTTGTCCTGCACTGGCACTTTTGGGAATGCGAGGTTTCAGCTCCTTTTCCACTTCCTCCAATTTTTCACTTCCTGCACTGGAAACTCCAGAGCTGGCACTGCCTGGCCTTTTTTCATCCTCAGTTGGATTGACCAATGGCAGTCCAAAACACATCCTCTCAGCCTCCCTTTGCTTTTCTGCTTCGTTGTCTTGCTCTATATAAGATGTACTCTCTTTCACTGTTGACTGTTGCTTGCTGAGAGCACTCATACTTTTTTGGAAGTTGGATGAACTTCTATGCATGGCCGAGTTTCTGCCGGTCCTACTGACTGAAGAGTAGCGGTCAGTCTCGAGGGCCTTGGACCTGCTGGTCATCTGCCTAAATGCCTCTCCCCCTCTCTCCTTGTCCTGCTCTTTGAAATGCATGAGATCCATCAGATCATGTAGTAATGGCTTTTTCACTATGATATCAGACTGACAGTCAGAGCTTAGAGATGGACTAAAGTTTACCTCCAGTAACCATGGTTTCAGGTTCTCATCGATAAGGACATCAAATCCGTACAGCTCAAAACAATTCTCTACTTTAGGAACTTGTGGAGCCTGAACTAGAACAGTTAGAATAATAAGATTCATGACTCGGATCCAGAGTACGCTGTCATCAATGTGGTTCTGGTGGAAATAATAGCGGAGTTGGGTGAGAGTCCATTTGCACCCTGGACCAATTCGCTCCTTGTCTGTCGTGTAAGCTGGACTGTGTTTATTTATAGATGTGTTAGTGAGATGAGCAAAGACATTATGTAGAGCAGACAAGTCAAACTTTTCTGTTCCAAATCTTACAATTCCTTCTTCATATATGTAAATTGTCAAAGGGTGAAATGATGGCACTGCCACATAAATTCGAACATCAAACTTGTATCCTCCTATTAAAAGGGGATTGGATACATATCGTTGTAGAACAGCATTGCAGTCGTATTGTAAATCTGATATGTCACTGAAGATGAAAATGCCTCTCCCTCTGGACATGTCTGCTGGTTTACAGATCCAGTATAGAGTTTTGGAATCATTCTGCTTTTGCTTTAGTTTACTGTACTCTGCAACAAAGCGTGTGTAGTCGTTGGGAAGGTTGAAGGTCATGGGACAAAAGTTGTAAACACCTGCTCCGTGGACCCCCTTCATCCGCTTCAGATTCCGAGCCAGACAATCCTTTTTGGTGATGCCTGTGGACTTTGGGTAATGATTCAATCGCTGCCATTTCTGGATGTTATCGTAATCACAGTTGCGAAATCTCGACGTTCTCCACCAGATGTTCCAATCGTAATCTTCTTGGGAATCCTCATCAAATTCGATCCACCCACGCTCTAGGAAAACCTGACGAAGAAGTTCTGGTCCTTGTCCATGGTCATTTATTCTGAAGACGATCGCTCTTGGCCTCTCAGACATCCTATTCTCCAAATTATGTATGGTAGGGAGATGTGCAAGTCCCAACTACTTCAGATCTGAAATATAGATTTCTAATTGTGAATGCTATTTTTCAAAAAAAAAAATGCAATTCCTTACATTTTAAAGAGTAAGAAAACCACTTTTCTTTTGTTGCAATTTGATTCTGAATATTCAATCCGGATATCAGGGCTTTAAGCTATAATTTATTGCCTCAATCATGATTAAATGGAAAGACCATATATATAATGCCTATATTTGATTCCAGGAATTTTCTGATGAGATGTATGAGTCACGATGACTTTAAAGGTATAAGTGATTTCAACTTAAATAAAATTCTGACAGTGTCATCAGTTTCTATACATACATTATCTACATCGACAAACACGATAAGTGTGAAGGAGTGATATCTTTAAATCACATGTTGCCGTCAGCTAGTATCCCTCAGAACCACCATGAAGAAATATCCCTGTTTAGTTTGAAGTTTTAAAGCCGTAAAATATTGGGGCTTAAATTAACAATATCGCATGGTGGCAACCGTTCAAGGGGAAAATTCATATTCCGAATGACGCACTTGTGTATCGTAATACAGTTTATTAATTCCGTTATTCAAATGCAGGTTTCAAAAGGTTTACACAATGCAAAGTATCAGTCACACACTGCTCCGGTTTTTAAATGACCTGTACAACGTGTTACACCAGGCGATAGCCACTTTAATTTTACACCTGCATAATCTCACCACCCTCCCTGTACCTTTAAATTCCATCGCTTGTAAATGTTTCAAATGCTTAACGCTGAATAAGGCGAATTTTAGAAGTTTTTGGAATTAAAACTTACCCGTTCATGGCTGTTTATGTTTTATGTCGCAGAAAATTCCATATTTTATATGAATTGCCCTATATGTACCAATCTCGCGAACATTTTTTCCAGTTTGTTGACATCACGTGACATAGCGACACCCAATGAAAACTGCTGTTAGAACGCCATTTTGTCAATAGTCGGTATAAAAGAAAAAACATATTTCGTGTGGATTCACGTTTTACGAAATAATATTATTAAATAATCATGGTTGGGTTTTTTTTTTGTCATAATCTGAACTACTGACGAAAATTTGTGTACACAAACTATTTATAGAAAGGAATGGCAGAAGCAAAAAGATTTATGTAAAATATATTTGATGCACTATAATTATGCATCACAACATTAAAAAAAAATCATGCAAATTCTGAATACTTAGATGTGCTCTATGAAATATTATAAAACCAAAGCATTTCACTTATTTCCATAATATCTGTTCAAAAATCCCATATATCTGTGAAAAAAAAGAATATTCTTGGGGTTTTTTTTAAGCAACCATGCAGGAGTTGTTCCCCTTTACGCATTTCCACCACTCTACTAATACTGCCTGGATAATCTCCCAATTTCTTAATTAAAAAAAATGCAGCAATACGCTCTTATTTGTATTTTGTGCATAATATAATATTTCAATAAACAAATGATGTTTAATCAGACTATAATTTATTACAAATTAAAACACACTGCTACATGTACAATTGCAACACAATTTCTTTGGATCCTACTCTTAATTCAATACAGAATGCATATTGACTGTCCACAGTAAAATGCACTTTGTGTAACCCACTTGATCATTCATGCATATATTTTTAATACGAGTTGTACTTATAAAAATCAGGGTACTTGTTCACCTAAATTATTCATAAGAAAGAATAATTATTCACTATAATTGTGCATTTCAGTATGCTTAGTTATAGAAGCAATCTTTTTGTCTGATTACAAAAAAATAAATAAATATATAAATAAATAAATAAATAAATAAGATCCAAGCACATTTGTATGAAAAGGGTTTTCAAACAAAAAAGAAAAGAAAACAACATTTAATTATTTTATTCATAAGAAATCACCGACACTAATCATTTTAACAATACAGTATTTGAATTCCAAATGCCACAAAAAGCATTTTGTTTTAAATTATCATTATTTTTTCCGTTTCTTATGTTTCCCTACAGAGGGTTCGCTAACACTCATTTCAGGTTTACGTTTTTTGTTGTCATTTTTAAACACGTCCGCCTTATTGATAGGCTCTATGATGCTGCCGAGTTTAGTGACTACTTTTGGTTTCACCAGTTCTTTGACAGCAGTCTCTGGATTCCAGGTTTTTCCGATGGGAGCTCGTATTGACTGTTCATACTGGTCCACTGATACATAAGGAAAGGGGAGATCACTCACCTACAATAACGTAACTGGTAATTGTTATCAATGCAACTCATCTTTACAGATCCAACAGATGCAAACTAATTTTTCATAGATCACAAAATCAAACAGGTAACTGCAATACAGCTCCTTCTATGTAAATCTCAGCATACTTCGTCAGAGTTTTTTGCAAAAAAATTAAATTTTGGGACTTTGTTTAAGAATACGCCTCTATCAATTTTGTGTGATAAAAAATTCTTTTGCCAACATTTCCCATTTAAGTTTTACACATACACATAAGAGGAAAGAACGCTGTATACAGCTTTTATTTTATGCAAGGGGTTATTTAGCGATGTGTTCTCTGATCAAAACCCAATTATACACCATTTTGAATAGCAGCTTTTGGTTCCTTTTACTAATCTTTCTTCCTTTCAATTTTACCAAAGAGTCTTATTTTTAGACTTGAATTTAATTATAAAATAGTTAAAATAAAACTGTCCTAAAGATAATGGATTCTTTATGAATGCGAGCTGACCTGATGTTTACTGATAGCTTTGTCTTTCTTCTCGCTAATGATGACATTACCCAGTTTATCGTCCTTCCGCGGGGGTCCCTCAGGGGCTTTTATCAAGAACCTGTAAAAATAGGGGGGAAGAAATTAATCAAATAACTAACAAAGCATGTACAAAAGATTGCACATTTAAAATGTTAAGTTATTAAGACATGGTTTTAAGTTTTGTGTGAGTTATTTAAACGTAAATCACATAGACTTGTCACGTAGGCATATTTCATGAAAAACATGCCTACGTTCAAGTCTGTGTGATTTACATACCAACTATGCACACATGACTTAAAACATTTTTTATATTTACATGTTTAAAAGACCCAAAAATATACTCAATGTTTGAATATCTTGTTGCCCATATCGTAATATTTTTATTAACATTTCCATAGCCTCATTGTGATGTCACTTTAGCGCAAGTTTCTCCTTGTATATTACTACGCATGAATATACTAGAGAATGGCACTGAAATCAATTTTATAGTTGGTTAAGTAGGAAAATACAGCAAAGATAAATATTTACAAAACTTTTCCCTTCATGCCTTAACATATATTAAACAAATATGGAAAAATCCTGATTTTAAATTCTTACATTCCTATTCATGTATTTAAGGATAAAAAGAATAAGACCTGTCAAAAATTTTGAGTCACAGTCGATTCTACAAATTTATAGATACAGTGTGTATATATACATGTATATAAACACATACTTTTTGCGTTTCTTCTTCGATTCTTCTATCCCCTCTCCTCCCCAGCTCCCCCACCCTGGGAGGAACAGATCCAGGTCCTTAGGTTTGTCTCTGTCCACAATGGCATTCTTCTCCTTTACAAACTCATCAATGACATCATCATCTGCGAAGGCCTGAGCGATGAGTGACCTCTGCGTCTCCTCTCCGTCTGATTCCTCTTCATTATCTCCCATTGTGATGCTTGGATTGACAATGTCTGATAACCTAGTCTCCAATGTAATTACTTTTTTAGGATCTATATTCACTTCCTCCTTTCTAATATCTTCAGTGAAGCTATTGTCTGTGTTTGGTACAGCTGTCCTGGAAGATATAGGCACATCCTCTTCTGATTCTGCATCATCTTCCTCCAAATCCTCCAGAGTTTTCTTCCTCTTTAATCCTTCACTAATCAAAGGAACATCATCCACTTCTTCTTCCTTCTCCTCCTCAGTCTTCATTTTCTCCACCTTATTTTTCTTCTTTCTCCTTTTCTTCTTCCTCTTACTTCCCTTCGCATCTTCCATTACAAAAACTTCCACCTTCTCCTCTTTATCCTCCGGTTTATCTTCAAGCTTCTGGAAGATTTCATCAATACCTTCCTCCACATTACTGACTGCCTGGCTGGCCTCCAGAGTCTGCTTCTTCTTCTTCAGCTCCTTCCCCATCTTCTTCAGCACATCCGCTTCTTCCTCCGACTCACTTTTTTCACTCTCTCCATCCTCCTCCTGTCCCTCACTGTTCAGCACAACCTGCGGACGAGAAAACTCTGACTTTGGAGCTGTGGGTGTCTGCACCTGCATCCATGGATTAGAAGAAAGGGCAGCTAACTCTCTTGCCATCATCTCTTCCTCGGAGTCAATTTGAGCCTCCTCTTCCTCCTCGCTGTCGCTGACAGGGACAACTTTCTGAGTCAGTTCTCGACTCTTCTGTAACATGTCCTGGACTCTTTGCCTTGCCTATATGTGGAAATATAAATAATCTGTCATTGTCAATTGTTATCATCAGAGACTATTAAAACAAATGTATATATATTGGCTAAGTTTTCTTTTTCCACACAAAATAAAAAAGGGCACTTTTACCTTCCTGAATAATAAACATTAAACTTCATGGAAGTTTCCTCATATATGCAATGAAGAATAACAGATTTATTTTGTCTCATAATTGTTAAGGCAATATACATGTATGACTAAAGAAAATTGTATACCTGTAAAACAAACTGAGAAATGAGCAACCTACATGTATTAAAAATATCACAATACATAATAAAGATTGTCTGACCTGATCATCAAACTTGGCGTACAGCATCTGTTTCTTGGCGTATTTACTGCCTCCTCTGTGCTTCAGACTCATTCTCTCCTAAATAACAATGTCAGGTACATATCAAAACAAGGCTACAACATAATCAACAATTGAAAAACAAAACAAGTCCTTGAGGTTATTGAAGCTCAACAAAGTTATAGCAGTACAAATAAAAAGTAACACTCACCAATATCCCCCTCTCAGTATCTCATACCCCTATCCCCTGTCTCAGTAACATTCATTTCTATTTTCTGTCTCATTAAGTCACACCTCTATCCTTAGTCTCATTAAGTAACACCTCTATCCTTATTCTCATTAAGTCACACCTCTATCCTTAGTCTCAGTAAGTCACACCTCTTTCCTTAGTCTCATAAGTCACACCTCTATCCTTAGTCTCAGTAAGTTACACCTCTATCCTTAGTCTCAGTAAGTAACACCTCTATCCTGAGTTTCAGTAAGGCACACCTCTATCCTTAGTCTCAGTGAGTCACACCTCTATCCTTAGTCTCAATAAGTCACACCTCTATCCTTAGTCTCAGTAAGTCACACCTCTTTCCTTAGTCTCATAAGTCACACCTCTATCCTTAGTCTCAGTAAGTTACACCTCTATCCTTAGTCTCAGTAACTAACACCTCTATCCTGAGTTTCAGTAAGGCACACCTCTATCCTTAGTCTCAGTAAGTCACACCTCTATCCTTAGTCTCAGTAAGTTACACCTCTATCTTTAGTCTCAGTAAGTCACACCTCTATCTCCTTAGTCTCAGTAAGTTACATCTCTATCCTTAGTCTCAGTAAGTCACACCTCTATCCTTAGTCTCAGTAAGTTACACCTCTATCCTTAGCCTCAGTAAGTTACACCTCTATCTTTAGTTTCAGTAACATACACTTGTTTTTAGCTACACCCACCTCTATCCTCTGTCTCTCCACCTCCTCCAGTTTCTCATTGTAAGCCTCGGGGTCATTCTTCTGTAGCTCCTCAAATGCTCTCTTCTCTTGCTTCAGTTTGTCTTTTTTCATTATTCGATGATACCTGTGAAGCCAATCTCAAACATTAGTTCCCCTGAACTTGACTACATATTCACTCAAAATTAAGACCAAAAAGGAGTGACTATGTCGTTTTACTTTAGGAAGATTGATTCTGTCAATTAGTTGTGACATTTTCATGTTAGACATGTGATATCTGTGAAAATTGACTGTATTGATAATTTCTAAGATATGCGTGGCTGATACATGTGACTGCACTGATATGTAATTGCTGAGATATGTTTAGCTGATACATGTGACTGCATTGATATATAATTATTGAGATATCTGATACATGTGACTACATTGATATGTAATTGTTGAGATATCTGATACATGTGACTACATTGATATGTAATTGCTGAGATATGTATAGCTGATACATGTGACTACATTGATAAGTAATTGCTAAGATATGTATGGCTGATACATGTGACTACATTGATATGTAATTGTTGAGATATCTGATACATGTGACTACATTGTTATGTAATTGCTGAGATATGTATAGCTGATACATGTGACTGCATTGATAAGTAATTGCTAAGATATGTATGGCTGGTACATGTGACTACATTGATATGTAATTGTTGAGATATCTGATACATGTGACTACATTGATATGTAATTGTTGAGATATCTGATACATGTGACTACATTGATATGTAATTGTTGAGATATGTATAGCTGATACATGTGATGGATTGATAAGTAATTGCTGAGATATGTATGGCTGCTACATGTGACTACATTGATATGTAATTGTTGAGATATCTGATACATGTGACTACATTGATATGTAATTGTTGAGATATCTGATACATGTTACTGATTGATATGTAATTGCTGAGATATCTGATACATGTGACTACATTGATATGTAATTGCTGAGATATCTGATACATGTGACTGATTGATATGTAATTGTTGAGATATCTGATACATGTGACTACATTGATAAGTAATTGTTGAGATATCTGATACATGTGACTGCATTGATATGTAATTATTGAGATATCTGATACATGTGACTACATTGATATGTAATTGTTGAGATATCTGATACATGTGACTGATTGATATGTAATTGCTGAGATATCTGACACATGTGACTACATTGATATGTAATTGTTGAGATATCTGATACATGTGACTACATTGATATGTAATTGTTGAGATATCTGATACATGTGACTACACTGATATGTAATTATTGAGATATATGTATAGCTGATACATGTGACTGATTGATATGTAATTGTTGAGATATGTATGGCTGATACATGTGACTGATTGATATGTAATTGCTGAGATATCTGATACATATGACTACATTGATATGAAATTGTTGAGATATCTGATACATGTGACTACATTGATATGTAATTGTTGAGATATCTGATACATGTGACTGATTGATATGTAATTGTTGAGATATCTGATACATGTGACTACACTGATATGTAATTGTTGAGATATCTGATACAGGTGACTACATTGATATGTAATTGTTGAGTTATGTATAGCTGATACATGTGACTGATTGATATGTAATTGTTGAGATATGTATGGCTGATACATGTGACTGATTGATATGTAATTGCTGAGATATCTGATACATGTGACTACATTGATAAGTAATTGTTGAGATATCTGATACATGTGACTACATTGATATGTAATTGTTGAGATATCTGATACATGTGACTACACTGATATGTAATTGTTGAGATATGTATAGCTGATACATGTGACTGCATTGATATGTAATTGTTGAGATATCTGATACATGTGACTACATTGATATGTAATTGTTGAGATATCTGATACATGTGACTACATTGATATGTAATTGTTGAGATATGTATAGCTGATACATGTGACTGATTGATATGTAATTGTTGAGATATCAGATACATGTGACTACATTGATATGTAATTGTTGAGATATCTGGTACATGTGACTACATTGATATGTAATTGTTGAGATATCTGATACATGTGACTGTGTTGATATGTAATTGTTGAGATATGTATAGCTGATACATGTGATAGCTTGACTGCTGTAACATACATGTATAATAGCTGTAATTATGTTCCCCAAACGAAGTTTGGGAACATATTGTTTTTACTCTGTTTCTTATTATTATTATTATTATTATTATTATTATTATTATTCTTTTTTTCTACTTTCTTCTCCGGTACTTTTTTGTCCGGGAGTGTTCTCATAGAACCACTCATCCGATTGACATGAAACCTTTTTAGGGTTAATAGGCATGTTGTGTAGGTGTGTGGAACGAAGGTCATTTTGCGCGCACATGCATGCACGTGCGCGCGCGTGCAATGAGTGAAATGACTGATATACTTGATGTTCAAGCCGTAACTTTTATATTTCTTGATCAATTGCTTTGAAACTCAAAATATAAAGATATATTAGTAGTCTAGACAAGACAACATGGTCAAATTAGCGTGAACTCACGCGCATGCATGTGCGCTCTTCTCTGATTGGCTGATACAAAAATCTCAATAATTTCCTTGTTTTTTGACAAAATACTTTGAAATTTAGAATATAAGTATATATTATAAGGTGCTACAACATGTTATATAGGAAATTTCTTGAAAACACGCGCATGCAGGTGTGCTGCAAACTGATTGGTTGAAACTTTAAATGTCTTTAACTCCCTTGGTTTTTAACAAAACAGGATGAAATTTAAGACATGGATAGGCACATAGACCTCCTACATTATGATACTATCAAAATTGAATGCAAGGCCATGCATGCGCGTATGCTGAATTTTGATTGGCTAATACTTAAAGGGTTACATCTCTCTTATTTTTCAATGAAATTCTTTAATATTTAAAACAAATGTTTGTATTGTGAGACACTATAAGAAAATTAATGTAAAAAATGTAGCTATTAGATTGGCTCATACCCATATGGCTATATCGGAGTAGTTTTCCAATGAAATACCCTTAAAAATAAAGTGTCCATCTATATTACAAAAGTATTGTCTAATTTATTGAAGCTTGTAGGGAATGGGGCATCACAAGGGATTGGGGAGCCGTTTGGGGAACATCTGTAACGGTTCCCGTTACAATTAGCACTAGTTAATTTACTTTTTGCTTTTAATTCTCTTCTGTCTCTTTGCCTTGGCCTCTTTATACGACATCAGAGCTCGAAATTTCTGAAGTTCTGCCCTTCTTTCTTTAGCCTATAAACAAATAAAGGATGTGAATTCTCAGAGGCAAATAATTTTAGTCTTGTTAAATTAAACAACCTTTTTCCTGTTTAAACATAAATGCTTGTTCTTAACAGTTTTAGGGGATGAACAAAACATGATTCTACAATGATAAGCAATGGGTTTAACAAAATTACTATATTCCTGCATTTTTTTATTTTGTTAGATAAGAAATGTCTTCCAAAACAATTCCTAACACCTAGCCCTGCCCTACCCCCTAGCCCTGCCCTACCTCTCAGCCCTGCCCTACTCCTAGCCCTGCCCTTCCTCTCAGCCCTGCCCTACCCCCTAGCCCTGCCCTTCCTTTCAGCCCTGTCCCACTCCCTAGCCCTGTCCTTCCTCTCAGCCCTGCCCTACCCCCTAGCCCTGCCTACCTCTCAACCCTTCAGTATCTCTCAGCCCTGCCCTACTCCCTAGCCCTGCCCTACCTCTCAGCCCTGCCCTACCCCCTAGCCCTGCCCTTCCTCTCAGCCCTGCCCTACCCCCTAGCCCTGCCCTTCCTTTCAGCCCTGCCCCACTCCCTAGCCCTGCCCTTCCTCTCAGCCCTGCAATTCCTCTCAGCCCTGCCCTACCCCCTAGCCCTGCCCTACTTCTCAGCCCTGCCCTACCCTCTAGCCCTGCCATACCTCTTCCAAGCTCATGGCTGCTATTGCCCTCTCCTCAGCTGGTGTGAGTTCCTTGTTTTTTGTCGGAAGGTCGTCAGTATTTCCCCTCAGGACTGCTGCTATTTCTATTTCTAGTGGGGTACGTGGCTACGAAATCAAATGAAAAGCATGAATTCTTTTACTATTGAAACAATGGGTTTTTTAAATCTATTTTTCATTCATCAGTTTCCAAAGAGGGGAAAGAAATTAAAGTATGGTATACTTAGGATACTGAATATAGGGAAATTTTTGCCCTTGATGGTGGGCAAATTTAAGAAAGCAATGAACAATTCAAAAGAGACATCCGGACGCCATTTATCCAGACGCTTCACCATCCGGACGATATTTTTTGGGAACCGATTTTTTCCACGTTATTTTGACTCATTAATCCGGAAATTCGTGTTCCGTATCCGAACGGTCAATTTCTACTACAAAACATAATAGTTCATTGAAAAATGACTCATTTATCCGGACGGTAATTTTTCAAGAAACGACATTTTCACACTTATCTTGCATTCGTGTAAAAACATTGGCCATAAAGTCAGTTTGAAGGCGGTTACCTGTGACCTACATACAATAGCGTCTATAATTAGCGTGTGTTTACCCCAATTCAATCACACATTTATCTTTATTATGAAGCTCAAAGAATTTAGCTGACACTGTGCATTAATTAAATAATAATCCGTTCCAAATCATATTGCTTACCGTATATACATTGGTAAACTCAGGAGAATTTTGGAGAGTTGTAAATAAAATGAACAATAAATAACGAGCGATTTCGTAATGCTCTTTATCATGTCGATTGCGTTAGTTTAAAATACGATGTTCCATTTCTAAAAAACATAAATGTATTTGAAACGCTTTTTTTCCCACAAGACAGTATAGAAAGGTACATAATTGAAGAAATATCTCTATTTAATGTACTACCGTTTACAAACGTCCATTACATAAAAAAACTGGCGTTACATACAGAAGTTGATTACGTTTTTCAAGGTATTTTTTAATGATCGAAATTCAAACTTAGCGTCTGTAGAAAAAAATAATATTGATAATCATGAAGATGGCTTGTGTTTACGAATGTTTTTAATACTTTGTTTGAGTTAGCTTGCAGTGTTCAGTTAATTATATAGTAACCCTGTGTAATGAATATACGGGGAATATACAGGATTATATAGTTAATATTTGAACATTTTCAATGAAGATGCTGAACAGTTCTGTCATATTATTATAATTATAATATATGGCGAAATAAAACAACAGTAGATCAAAATTTGCTCAACCCATGAAGTCATTGCCCATCCATTTTTTTTATTGTGTAAATTACATTTTAATATTTTTTTTCATTAATCAACTACTGTATTTAAAACAATTAACCTAAATATAAATTAAAAGTTTTTTTTTCTTTGCTGTCACATTTGAAACAAGAATGTACATATATACATGCTTAGAGAGTGGTTTTTGAGATGTGATTCAATTATCCGGACGATTCATTTATCCGGACGATTTCCTTGGGGACAGAGGCGTCCGGATAAACGAGGCGCCACTGTATATCTCACTATCAGCTCTTACAATGTATACTGTTTAAACTTGGTCAAAATTGTTTGCAATAAGGTGAAAATAACACGAGGTGAATATGACCCTGTATACAGTATAAAGACAGATGAATTTCATGGTAAGCCTTACTTTGAAATGATTGAATTTCCCTGTGTTGTTGTGGAGGTGGATTTCTGTTTTCTGTAGAGGAAACTGTAACTGCTCCGCCTGTAATGAAAATCACAAATTCTCCCCAAAAATCAAAGATTAACATGTATAAGGTAAACTGTCACTGTTCCACCTGTAAAGAAAGCCCCAAATCCTCCTATCATCCCTACTCTAAAAATCAAGATTAACATTTAATATTTATGGCATCTATTATCCAGATCTTTATAACAATTGAATGAGTACCTCTCTATTAGATCTGACCACCGGGTCCCACTTAGAAATCTCTTTTGTTGTTCTGCCATATGCAACTCCTCTCTCAATCTGAAAAAAAAAATGTATAATGAGTATTTATTTATGGATTGATAATGATGGTTTGTTTGGTGTGTTTTTATTTATAGATTGTTAATACTTGTTGGTTTGTTTCTTTTAGTTTTTTTTTTAAATTCAGGAATCATTCTGTAATCTCTAGATAGTCAACCCAGAATGAAAAGTTTCCTATTTTTTTTGTGGAAGTTAAGGAATTTACAATGTGTTGGCTTGTTTTCTTTTTACACTATATTCTCAGTGTCCTGTCTTCAAAACCATATGCATAGTAATATTTTTTTTTTGGAAACTTAAAATCATCACAAAATTTCTGCCATAAAAATGTTCTACATTTACAGTATACATTGTTGGGGTTGTCCCTAAGACCAAGGGGCCAGGGAATTTCCCCGCCTATAATGGTGTAAACCCCCCGGTTATTCTGGTATTCCCCCTCAACCCCCTGTTTAGGGGAGGAACCTCAGAAACCCCTTCCTTTCTTAATTTCCCCTGCTATTTCAATTCTTTGGGACAACCCTGCATTGGTGGTGCCTGACCTTCTCTTTCTGGTGTTTGGGTAGCGGTACCGGTACCACCCTCTGGTTCTGGACTTTGTTGAGTTTTGTTTTGAGAGGGCCATGTCTGGCAGACATCTTCAGGGTCCCCACCAGCTCATGTAACTTAACTTTTGAGTCATCTGGTAAAAATCAAACATGGATCAGTAAATCAGACATTGTCTGTATGAAATCTAACACATATATACATGTAGGCCATTAAATTATAAATTATCTACATGAAATACAACTTAATTTCCTGAATGTGACTACAGTTTAATGAAAATAATGGAGTATAAGCTGTCTTTTTATTTATTTTTGTCTTATTTTATACAAATTGAATTAACAACTGTATTATATTCCTGTTGAAGTACACAGTACAATTATCCATCTCACCTGAGGAAGCTTTGAAGTGAAATTCTGAGACTTCATTGGAGGGAACTGTCCTCTGGCTTCTCTTGTTGCTATAGAAAATAAATAACACAGGAACCAATGAAAATTATATCTAATGATAATCTGTAATATATTACATATAAATAAAAAGAAAAAAAAAATTATTATTAACTAAAATTGTTATACATGTAACTGAAAAAGGTATTTAAGTTATGTTAAGATACTCAAATCATGTATGAAATAAAAAAGTGATTAATATTCCAAAACGTTCATATACAATTTAAATAAATCACTAAAAACACATTCATTTGGTAATTTTTTCTTTAAAAAAAAAAAAAGAAGCATATCTTGGAATGACTTACACTTTTTTGCCATCCAGACTAGAAATGGCATCTAACAGTCTGGCGTGACTCTTCTCATCATCCTGAAGAAACCAGAAATAATCCATTAAAATTTAATCCAAATTAACTCAGTTAATATTTAATACAGTTTTTATTCTTGCAGCTCATTTTTATCTTTATGCTTACTCTACAACAGTACCTACAGAAGTTAGGGAAATGGGAAAGGGTTTGGCATGTCCTTAAAGTCCTTTAAATGTGAGGTATGAAGGATCACTCGGAAATGCAATACCATCATCAAGACACCGTAGAGATTGGATTACATTTCTGAGTAATCCATAATAGCGAGCACAGCAAGCAGCTTGAAGAGTTGCTCATCACAACAAGATCTTAAAGCTACGCCTGAGCGTAGAGAAAATTTTGATTTTGAACATTGATCTGAACGATTTCTTCCACAGTTACCATTGAGACCCGCAACACGAATGCATCTCACTCTCACTACCTTCTCGCGGTAACAACCAAAGTTCACCAAATAAATAAACTCACCTTGACAGGGTTGTGGTTAACTTTTGAATACTTAGGGGCCATGTGGGCTCCTAACATTTTAAATTTCACAGGCCCACATTATATGTAAATTAAAAATAACAACAAAAAATCCTTAATTTTTCTAAATGATTTTTTTTTTATTCATAGTGCATTGATATGTTCGCAGTATATGAGTTTTTGTCAAATTTTCTCTTTTCTAAAAACTTTGATCAGATAATATGTTCATTACATTTTGTAGTGTTTAACCTGTGATGAAGTTTGATTCCGATCTTTTATTGTGTGCATTTGACATGGTAATTTAAATTCAATCTACGAATAACTAGTCGGATGGAGTGTGTTACAACCACAGCCGATTGTTACAATATTTCTATTATAGAACAATCTCAAACGTTAGCTCTCATATCATCAGACTTAACAGAGATTTAACCGCTTCGATAAATCGCCATTTTGATCTCAGTCACATATATGTTTGAATAATATGCTTGTACGCAACACAAATAATCTAGTAGGTTAGTAGAGCCTTTTCTTAACAAGAGGCCATGGGCCACAACGCTCACCTGAGTCAATATGGCCCTGCTGTTCTTTGTCAGCAGATTTCTTCTCCTATATATTCATATATAAAGCTTTGATTGCCTGTTCTAGGCATACCCTACCCCCAGGTGCCATGTTTTGAATGAAATTGAATATAAACCTTTTAAAGATTCTAACACCCTCCCAGGGGGGGTGGGTGGGGTGGGGGGGGGGTCATGATTTGAACAAACTTGAATGTACACTACCTGAGGATGCTTCCATATCAATATGACTAAACATGGCTTTATTGTTCTTGAGATTGAAGAAGATTTTTAAAGATATTTCCTATATATGTTCTTTTGTAAAACTTTGATCCCCCATTATGGCCCCACCCTCCTACTGGAGGATGCCTTGAACAAACTTGAATCTACAATACTTGGGGATGCTTCCATATAAATATGACTAATCATGGCTTTCCTGTTCTTGACAAGATTTTTAAAGATTTTTCCTATATATTCCTATGTAAAACTTTGATCCCCCATTGTAGCCCCACCCTACCCCCGGGGGTCATGATTTGAACAAACTTGAAAGTACACTACTTGAGGATGATTCCATATCAATATGACTAATTGTGGCTTTGTTGTTCTTGAGGGGGGTTTTGTTTGTTTGTTTCTTTGTTTATTGTTTAACGTCCCTCTCAAGAATTTTTCACTCATATGGAGACACCACCACTTGCCGGTGGAGGGCTACAAATTTTGACCTATACCTGGCACTTAGGGCCATTGAGCAGTGAGGGATCTTTTTTGTGCCAGCACCTACTGTGACACGGGACCTCGATTTATATGGTCTCATCCAAAGGGCCAGTCTCCACGTCCCACAGTGGGATTCGAACCCGCAACGTAAGGATCAACTACTTACTCCGCAACTCTAGAGCGAACGCTCCAACTAATGCGCCACGTGGGCGACTGAGGGGGGGGGTTCATGATCTGAACAAACTTGAATCTACACTACCTGAGGATGATTCCATATCAATATGACTAATTGTGGCTTTGTTGTTCTTGAGAAGAAGATTTTTAAAGATTTTCCCTATATATTCCTATATATAAGCTTGATCCCCCATTGTGGCCCCACCCTACCCCTGGGGGTCATGATTTTAACAAACTTGAAAGTACTCTACTTGAGGATGATTCCATATCAATATGACTAATTGTGGCTTTGTTGTTCTTGAGAAGAAGATTTTTAAAGATTTTCCTTATATATTCCTTTATAAAAGTTTGATCCCCCATTGTGGCCCCACCCTACCCCCGGGGGTCATGATTTGAACAAACTTGAATCTACACAACTTGAGGATGAATCCATATAAATATGACTAATTGTGGCTTTGTTGTTCTTGAGAAGAAGCTTTTTAAAGATTTTCCCTATATATTCCTATGTAAAACTTTGATCCCCCATTGTGTTCCCACCCTACCCCCAGGGGTCATGATTTGAACAAGCTTAAATCTACACTATGTAATGAAGGTTTCACATAATTTTAAACTTTTCTGGCTCCATGGTTCTTGAGAAGAAGATTTTTAAAAGATGACACCAAATTTTCACCAATTTTTAATTATCTGCCCTTGGAAGAGGGCTTGGCCCTTCATTTGAACAAACTTGAACCCCCTCACCCAAGGAAGCTTTGTGGCAAGTTTGGTTGAATTGGCCCAGTGGTTCTGTCAGGAGAAGAAGTCGAAAATGTGAAAAGTTTACAGACGGACGGACAGACAGACTACAGACAAAATGTGATCAGAAAAGCTCACTTGAGCTTTCAGCTCAGGTGAGCTAAAAACTGAAAGTACATAAAATATAAAACTGAAATGTGATCATGTTTAAGGGAAACAAGAGGCCCAGGGGCCACATCGCTCACCTGAGCACTATGGCTAGGAAAAAGCAGAAATCACTTCAATCTTGAAAGGTTAAAAAGTTTAAATATAAAAGTGGTTGGGGGGGGGGGGGGGTCATGAATTGAACAAATTTGAATCTACATTATCTGAGGATGCTTCCATTTAAATATGACCAATCATGGCTTTGCTGTTCTTGAGTAGAAGATTTTTAAAGATTTAACCTATGTATTCCTATGTAAAACTTTGATCACCCATTGTGGCCCCACCCGACCCCCAAGGGTCATGTTTGAACAAACTTGAATGTACACAATCTAAGAATGCTTCCATATAAATATGACCAATCATGGCTTTGCTATTCTTAACAAATAGTTTTTTTTAAAGATTTTTACTATGTGTTCCTATGTAAAACTTTGATCGCCCATTGTGGCCCCACCTGACCCCCGGGGGTCATGATTCGAACAAATTTGTATGTACACTATCTGAGGATGCTACCATATAAATATGACCAATCATGGCTCTCCTATTCTTAACAAATAGTTTTTTTTAAAGATTTTTACTATGTGTTCCTATGTAAAATTTGATCGCCCATTGTGGACCCACCCGACCCCCGGGGGTCATGATTTGAACAAATTTGAATGTACACTATCTGAGGATGCTTCCATGTAAATCTGACCAATCATATCTTTGCTGTTCTTGACAAGAAGATTTTTGAAGATTTTCCCATATATTCCTATGTAAAACTTTGATCGCCCATTGTGGACCCACCCGACCCCCGGAGGTCATGATTTGAACAAATTTGAATGTACACTATCTGAGGATGCTTCCATGTAAATGTGACCAATCATGGCTTTGCTGTTCTTGAGAAGAAGATTTTTGAAGATTTTCCCATATATTCCCATGTAAAACTTTGATCGCCCATTGTGGACCCACCCGACCCCCGGGGGTCATGATTTGAACAAATTTGAATGTACACTATCTGAGGATGCTTCCATGTAAATGTGACCAATCATGGCTTTGCTGTTCTTGAGAAAAAGATTTTTGAAGATTTTCCCATATATTCCTATGTAAAAATTTGATCGCCCATTGTGGCCCAACCAGACCCCCGGGGGTCATGAGTTGAAGAAACTTGAATCTACACTACCTGAGGATGCTACCATATAAATATGACCAATCATGGCTTTGTTGTTCTTGAGAAGAAGATTTTTAAAGATTTTTTCCTATATATTCCTATGTAAAACTTTGATCGCCCATTGTGGCCCCACCCTACCCCCCGGGGGTCATGATTTGAACAAACTTGAATCTACACTATCTGAGGATGCTTCCTTGTAAATCTGACCAATCATGGCTTTGGTGTTCTTGAGAAGAAGATTTTTGAAGATTTTCCCATGTATTCCTATGTAAAACTTTGATCGCCCATTGTGGCCCCACCCGACCCCCGGGGGTCATGATTTGAAGAAACTTGAATCTACACTACCTGAGGATGCTACCATATAAATATGACCAATTATGGCTTTGCTGTTCTTGAGAAGAATATTTTTAAAGATTTTTCCTGTATATTTCCTATGTAAAACTTTGATCGCCCATTGCGGCCCCACCCTACCCCCGGGGGTCATGATTTGAAGAAACTTGAATCTACACTACCTGAGGATGCTACCATATAAATATGACCAATTATGGCTTTGCTGTTCTTGAGAAGAAGATTTTTAAAGATTTTTCCTGTATATTTCCTATGTAAAACTTTGATCGCCCATTGCGGCCCCACCCTACCCCCGGGGGTCATGATTTGAAGAAACTTGAATCTACACTACCTGAGGATGCTTCCACATAAGTTTCATGTTTTCAAGCACAGTGGTTCTTGAGAAGAAGATTTTTTAATGATGCCATTAATTTTTCACAAATTCTTAATTATCTCCCCTTGGAAGAAGGTGTGGCCCTTCATTTGAACAAACTTGAATCCTCTTTACCCAAGGATACTTTGTGGCAAGTTTGGTTGAAATTGGCCCAGTGGTTCTTGAGAAGAAGTCGAAAATGTGAAAAGTTTACAGACGGACAGACGGACAGACGGACAGACGGACTACAGACAAAATGTGATCAGAAAAGCTCACTTGAGCCTTCGGCTCAGGTGAGCTAAAAAACTGTTCACCATGTGGGCGACCAGATTTTTAATATCTAATCTCCCACAGAAAATTTTACTCGAATTTTCGAGTGGGCGAGTGGTTATCCTCAACCCTGACTTTGATTTAATGGATATTACAGCTATATGGTGGATTCATGGTTCTTTGTTAATCAAATTTCACTATAGGCCTAAATGGTAATGACACTAACATTCGACGTCATGTGACGTCAGAGTCTAGACATTCAAAATATCATGTGCGGTTTCAAGAGGCGGATCCCAGTTCAAACAGAAAAGATATCCAATCATACACATCTGCGCTCACCCTAACAATCGCACTGTCAACAAACATGTATAACTTTCCATTTCAGAAGACTGAAGGACATCTGTTAATCCCTTTCCCATTCCCTACACTTCTTAAGTAGGTCCTGTACTTGGGTGTTAAAGTCCAGATCTAGTTTGATTCTGCAGTATAACTAATAATCAGACATACATTATCATTATATATAAATTTTACCTCATCTTCGCTGGCGCTAACTGTGTCCACAAAGTCTGCTTCTTCGTCCAGCATGTTAGCTATCTACAATACAGTGGATATTTACTTCTTAATACCAGAAAATCCTTCAGCATGATTGTAGAACTGTTGTCTTTTAATTGCAAAGCTCGCCAAGTTTACCTTTGTTTAGAACTACAAATCAAACGTGTTTACAAGGAAGAAAAAAAAGTCTCAAAATGATTGTAAACAGTCTGACTCACGAAAAACGTTTATGTGTCTTTTTCAAACTCAAAGTTTTTATTTACCGTCATTTATTTACGTCCAACACATGTGGCGGAAGTTAACAATTCTCTGTTTACCAAACCCGAGAGGAAAAATAGATTTCAGACTAGCAATTGTTTTTCTTATCTTTCAAAATTATTTTTGATCAAAAGTGATAAATCAAACGGTTTTTAAGTATATGCACTTATCAAAAAATTTCCTCTTTCAATAATGAAAGAATAATTAAGACGTCGGGATCGGGATTCAAATGAAACATGCTTGGAGAGAAAAGAGCTAACTGAAACTGACGAAACAGTAATGTAACTCGTAAGTTTTTTAACTGCTGTACGGACAACACAGGAAAGCAAGCATGGAGGACATCGAAGAAATTATGCGAATGGACAAAGAAAAGTTGGCGGCACCAATTAAGACGATAAAGGTACTTTAATAGTTTGTTACAAGCTTATTTTGAAACTGGAGCTTCCAGTGTGTAAAAATAAATAAAAGTTATTTAGAAAAATAATAATTTACCATTGTTTTAGTCATTAGTATGTGAATTTAAAAGGATTAACATTACTGGCAGTGTAAGTGTAAGGTCCTGTGCTTTGAAACTTATATACATCACATGTATATGCCAATCATTTCACTAACACACAGCTAGAATTTTCATCATCTCTCAGATTGATAAAATCTTCAACCATTGTTCATCTCTTTTATCATCAACCGTTGTTTTGTGTGTGTGTGTGTTTTTGTTTTGTTTTGTTTTTTTGGCTACGTATCATTTGTAATAGTTTGGGCCATGGATATCAGAGTGGCTAGTTCAGTTGGTAGAACACCTGACAAGTGACGGGATCTGCCCTGGCTTTGATTCTTGGTCCAGCCATATTTTTCTCCTTTCCTGTTAGAATAGAGTCAGTAAAAAAAAAAACTAAAAGAAGTTTTTCTCTTAATAATTTTTTTCTATCACTTCTTTAAAGGATTTGCTTTTTTTCTCTCACCATTTAACTGAACACTTATTTTGCCTGTATTTTCATCACTGCTTGAAGTTATCAACACTGATTTATGCTCATTAATACTTTGTTGTCTTTATGGAGCTGTCTTATACTCTGGTGATTGTTAAGGCCCTTGGGCCTCTTGCTAGAGTTTTAAAAAACTGAACGAAAAAAATGGAGAATTGTTACAGAATATGCATGTTGACCTCAATGGTGTGACTATTGAGTACAATATCAATGGTATCATGAATAAATTTGATATCTGTAGGAAAAATGGAAGTTGCTGCCTGCATTTCTGAAGGTGAAAGGGCTGGTCAAACAACACATAGATTCCTTTAACTACTTCATCAATGTGGAAGTAAGTATCATGCAAAGGGAAACAAATCTTTTATTATCTAATTCACTTTCAAAAATGACCAGTTTTTTTTCCGTGAAAATTAAAGTTTGAATTTAAATTTCTGAAGTGAAAATCACATATCTGCATTGTGTTATTTGTGTATCATTATGTGATGGCTTAATACTGTCATTAAATGTTCAGAGAGAACTTCTTCTACTGATGAAAGAGTACGTTTTTTTTTTCAGCACCAGGGAATTTCATAGTATTGAATGTAAAATATTTTTATTCTATATCATATTCATTTGTAGATAAAGAACATAATGAAAGCCAATGACAAAATATTAAGTGATGCAGATCCCAACTTTTACATGAAGTAAGTATTCTGTGATTAATTTTAATATATTAAACCTACCTTGATAAAAAATGAAAAGAAGTTACTTATATTGTAAGTCAATTTGTCAATCCTTTTGTAGAGTGCCAGTAAACAATCTCTGTTTTCTATGTACGCCTTATCCTTTTTTTTGTCAATGTAGATATTTGAATATTTATGTTGGAATGCCGGATGTGGAGGAAGGATTTAACATCACAAAACCTATATCACCTCACGAAGTAAGTTTGTCTCACATCTCACTTAACCTGTCTGGTCTCACAAAGGAGGCCTGTCTCACATCTCACTTAACCTGTGTGATCTCACAAAGTAAGACTGTCTCACATCTCACTTAACCTGTGTGATCTCACAAAGTAGGTCTGTCTCACATCTCACTTAACCTGTGTGATCTCACAAAGTAGGTCTGTCTCACATCTCATTTAACCTGTGTGATCTCACAAAGTAGGTCTGTCTCACATCTCACTAAAGAAATTAAATCTAACAAAGGAAATCATATCCCACAAAGATTTGTCTAGCATCTCAACAACCCATTTAATTGCTAAAAACATAGGTACATCAACATACTTGCTAGAAGTCTATGAAAACAAAAGATTTACCATTTTAATTTTTCTTTTAACAAACTTTTGTGTTATTAATTGCAGTGTCGTTTGCGGGACATGACATACTCTGCCCCTATCACAGTGGATATCGAGTACACTCGAGGAAACCAGAGGATTGTTAGGAACAACCTTCCCATAGGGAGGTAATGATGCCCACACTGACAGATAAAAGGGAACTTTATTCTTGCTTTTTCTTCTGTAATGCTCAGGATTCTTAACAATGGTCATGTTTAATATGTATTAATTTTGTGATCTGTTTGTTTCTTTAGAATGCCTATAATGTTGAGGAGCTCTAACTGTGTGCTGAATGGTAAAAGTCCGGCTGAGATGGCCAAACTGAACGAGTGTCCAATGGACCCCGGGGGTTACTTCATCACCAGAGGGACAGAGAAAGTCATCTTAATCCAGGAGCAGCTGTCTAAAAATAGAATGATGGTAGACACAGAGATAGGGAGAAATCGCTCAATAGAATGCTCCGTTACAAGGTCAGTGCTAAAAATAGATACAGAGTGAAAAAGGAAATTCAGTTTTTGGTACTTTCCAGTAGAATCTGAACTGAATATATTAATTAACCTTGATCAATCCAGATTCTGTGCAATTCCAGCAAACTATTTTAGCCCACAAATATATATATATTTTTTTATTATTATAAATTAAACATTCTCCTCTCAAGATTTCTAATCTGGCAAATTTTACAGAACCCCTGATGTTCAGTTTAGACCAATTTAACTATAGTAGCAAATGAATGAATTTAAAATCATTAAGTTCTAAATCTTGCAGGTTAAACATTTGTATAAAATTCATTGTTTTTATTAAGTTTATTTACGATATCATGGATTATGGTACATGTAAATGACACTAGAGAATACTAAGAGACCACAAAACATACAAATGAACCCCAAAACATATTTTAAAAGAATAACTAATTTGATATGCTTAATACTGCTATCATGATGTACATGTATTTTAAGGAGATTTCTTTTTTCTGTGTTACAGCTCTACTCATGAAAGGAAAAGTAAAACATATGTATCCACAAAGCATGAGAAATACTACCTACGACACAACACATTCACAGAGGTACTGTTACATGGGTGATACAAAATTTACATTCTTTGATTTTGATCTGGTCAAATTTTCTTCGTTTAAAAATACAATTTGCTTTTGTGTGTTGATTCTCCTGCTTGCAAAACTGCCTCCATGCCTACATCTTTGATCAAATAGGAAGTCATTTTGTCTTGAAATCCTTAGCTATGATAAAGGTATATTCTGTTAAAAATCACTTTTAAATGTAAAGGTTAGGTAGGTTTCTTTTGAAATTGCCAAATACTCCTCAGTATTTTATCTAATAGGTAATGTGCATTACTATGTAGTGTGACATTTTAGGACATTCCTGTATTTTAATGTGCATGACAATGTAGTGTGATGTTTTAGGACATACCTGTAGCTATAGCCTTCAAGGCCATGGGGATTGAGTGTGACCAGGAAATCGTACAGATGATCGGGAGTGAGGAGGAGATTCTGACGTCCGTCGCACCGTGTCTGGAGGAATGTCACCGTGCCCAGGTGTTCACTCAGCTACAGGTACTATAGATATTGTCACCCCTCTAACCCAATCTGCCATCTTTTTATATAAACAGAAATGTGTGTCCCTATTTGTAATAAAGATGTGATTTTAAATCAACTGCAGGTAGCAATTGCAACTTTTCTTAATGCTTTTCTTCTGCCAGCACACATATGTACTCAGCATTAGGTAGCCTTAACACCCTTGTGCCGCCTCAAGTGTTTTTCAAACCCAATTTTTCACAAGAATCACAAGTTTTGGCTTCATTTTGTGATTTGTGGCATTTTTTATTATGCCCCGCCATGAATATGGCCGGGGCATATAGTGTTTGTCATGTCCTTCTTCTGTCTGTCTTTCCATCACACTTTGCGTTTAGCTCTGTTCAAAGCTCAGTTTCAAAGAAACTATCCAAGATAATTTTATCAAACTTCATATGTTGATACATACTGATGTGAGCTATTCAACTGCATCAACATTTTTTTACCTTTCATTTGACCTTGACCTCACTTTTCTTAAACTAGTGTTTAGCTCAGTTTTAAAGATACCATTCAAGATAGTGTAATCAAACTTCATATGTTGATACATACTGATGTAAGCTATTCAACTGCATCAACATTTTTTGACCTTGACCTCACTTTTCTTAAATTAGTGTCAAACTTCATATGCTGATACATACTGATGTAAGCTATTCAACTGCATCAATATTTTTTGACCTTGACCTTTCCTTTGACCTTGACCTCACTTTTTTCAATTTGTGTTTAACTCAGTTTTAAAGAAAACATTCATAATATTTTTATCAAACTCTATATGCTAATACATACTGCTGTAACCTTTTCAACTGCATCAACATTTTTTGACCATGACCTTTCCTTTGACCTGAACTTCATTTATTTTAAATTAGTGTTTAGCTCATTTTAAATAAACCATTCAAAATATTTTTATCAAACTTAAATATGCTGATACGTATTTGTGAGAAGTATTCAACTGCATCAAAAACATTTGACCTTGAACTTTCCTGTGACCTTGACCTCACTTTTCTTAGATTTGCATTTTGCTTAATTTGAAAGAAACCATTTAAGATATATTTATGTACGTTTATACACTTATACATTATTTGGCAAGAATTTATCATCTATATCCAACTTTTTAGATTTCAATTTCAATTTCAAAGAAACTATTCAAGATAATCTCATCAAATTTCATACACTAATACAAATTTTCAGGTTGCATTACTAATATACCCTCGGCAGGGCATTCATGTCCTATGGACATATTTCTAGTTGATTGCTCATATGATCATATTATAAGCCACCTTTAATTTTATAGAGGCTTGTATAGTAGAAGTTTTCCTGTTTAATATTATTTTGCCAGATATTTTACCCATGGATAATTCAAACTTTCATTGACTTCAAATAAAAGGTTAATTTCATTTATATGCCTTTGGATTTCAGGCTTTAAAATATATAGGACAGAGGGTGAGGCAGAGAAGAGTTTGGGGTGGATCCAAGAAAACAAAGATAGATGAGGCCCGAGAGGCTCTGCATGACATAGTGCTAGCTCATGTACCGGTAGGTGGAAAAATCTAGAGAGACACATGCAATCATGATTGTACAATCCAATTGATTTGACAGAATTATTTTCATTTTAAAAAAATGGAAGGAGTTGAATATGCATGCTTTTTAATAATTTAAAATTTGCAACATACTAATGACTCTGCCTTAAAAGGCAAATCAAGATCCAAAGATTCAGACATATAAAGGTAAACAAACACGTGGGTGTATGTGAATGAGTAATTTTTATCACTGCTGTACAGGTTGTGGAGTGGAACTTTAAGTTAAAGGCAGCATACCTTGCTCTGATGGTCAGACGGGTCATCCTAGCAAAGGACCAGCAGGTCAAAGGTGATGACCGCGATTACTATGGCAACAAGAGACTGGAGTTAGCAGGACAGCTTCTCTCTTTGTTGTTTGAGGATTTGTTCAAAAAGTTCAACTCTGAGGTATTACATTTATAGGTTTTGTTTGCTTCATATTTTTTAGAATATTTATTTAAAGCATGTTACTGTACATGTATACATTTAGTGACTCTAATTTCACTAATTTGGGGGACATTTTAGATGATTAGATTTTCTCCTTTTCTGAATTATAGATGAAATTTCAGGCATTGTGTTTATGTCACACATCAGTGCTGATGAAATTAGAATAGCTGAGGATAATGATATCATTTGCTTACAGCTTAATGTACAATTGTAAACAAAAACTTTGTATAATTTCACACACTAAGTTTGTAAACAATTAGTTCTGACAGATGAATTACTTCATACCCATTCTCTCTGCCTAATTAGTTGAAGAGGATAGCAGACATGACCATTCCTAAACCAAGGGCTGCTCAATTTGACATAATCAAACACATGAGACAGGACCAGATCACAAATGGACTGGTCAACGCCATTTCTACGGTAAGTGGTAGAGGTCAATGCAATTATACAGTAAATGTTACTGGTGAGATCTTTTTCTAAATTTCAATAAAATGAAAATCTCAAATTTTCAATTCTATTTAATATATGATACATGTACTTATAAGTGGCAAAACTAGCAATAATTCATGTGTACATTGGTCAGGATAGTCCT